ACTGTTCAGCACAGCAAACTAATAAGATGGAAATCACAGGTAACTCATTTAAAAAATATTAACATAATGTTTTAGTAACAGCACTAACACCCAAATTTATAAAAAATAAAATAGATTCAAAAGGCGTTATAAATTGTATGAAAATGCTACTATTTATAAAGCCTTTTAAATAAATCTAATTTTTTATGAATTAGGCCAGAGACGAGTCATGCACGAACATTAGAACATCGAAAATAAGTAGACCTGTATTTTTTATTTTGAAATCGGTTAATATCTAACCCTGCCGCCGCACAGTGGTTCAAAACTGGAATTTAGTGTTCAAAATTCTCTGAAGCCTTCATTCTGCACTCAATTACATTGATTTTCTTTGAAATGAAAGCTAATAAATTCTGCAGGAGACCAGTTGAGCCCGATTCTTGATATTTGTTTGTTTGTATTAAATTTTTAGCGCAGTGCAGAAAAAGTAGCAAATTTGAAGTAAATCGATTCTTTCTTTTTCCTGCACTTTGCATTAAAAAAATTATTACAAACAAACAAAAATTCAAAAATGAGGCTCAACTGGTCTCTTACAAACTTTATTGGATTTAATTTAAAAAAAATAATCAATTGATTCAAAAACGAAGACTCCAGTGAATAATGGACACCTTTATGGCGCCTTTATTCGTTTCTAGTGACGATTTAATTTTAATCAAGGAATGAAACCGAAACCGTTGCGGTTAACCCTTTAACTAGAACCGTTTCTGTTTTTACACCCGTTACCGTTATTTTGATTAGAAAAAGAACGAAACCGTTTCAAGACAGGAACGGGTTCCAATCGGTTTTGACAAAACCATAACGATCAGCTCCAGTATATGGCAACCAGAAACTTGTTTTTCGCCAATAGCATAAAAGAAAACAAACGATACTTAAAGAATAACAAATTTACAATTGTCGTTTTTGTACTTTTTCGTTTTAAGTTAGCCATACACTGGCCCTCTAAATAAGCTTATCAGATAATAGTCAGTGCAGGGGCGCAAAATAGAACTGGTGCAATAAATGACATTTGATTCAGCAGAGAAATCAACTGACACGCTTTTTATAAATTGTCGGGACAAATATGTTGGCTAGCATGTGGATAAACTTACTTTTAATGTTTTATTTCTTGACTTCTGGCAACACTGATAATTGTATTGCAATTTGTTTTCTTATTAAAATTAACCACAATGTTTAATGTCGCAAAACATTTTAGCAAGGGGTGCATTGAGTGCCGGTTTTGTCGTGAGCCTGCGAGGAAAGAATGTCAACTATAAGGTATAGAGGTTCCGAAGTTGCCATTTGAAGTACTGCACATGGATCATCTGAGTCCGTTTATAAAGAGTCGATGCGGTAACGAACACATTCTGCTTATTGTTGATGCGTTGACCAGATATACGATAATTCTAGCTGTTAAATCTACAAAAACAAAGCCGGTTGTAGATGCGTTAAACCAGTTGACATTGTACTTCGAGTTCTGCAAAACCAATGACATTGAGCATATTAAAGTAGCTGTCCATACACCCCGATCGAATGGAATGGCCTGGCTGAACGAGTCAAGCAGTCAGTGCTAGCATTCCTAAAGACTACGACAACAAATCCTAAGACTTGGGATGACGACTTGCGCTGTCTCCAGTGGACTATCAACATGAATGCGACAACTAAATACTCAGCAATTGATCTCATCTACGACTTCCCTGCGTGATATTAGTGGCAATAAAATTCTTGCTACTTTGCACGACGACCGGGTCAACCACCTAAGTATGATGAAGCTGATCTTTTTTTGGTTGAGAGCCCTATTCCGAGTACGGGGGAATCCCGTAAACAAGAACACAAATATCGAGGGCCTTATGTAGTTGACAAGGTTCTCCGGTTTGATCGCTATGTCATCAAAGATGTCGAAGCTGCACTGCTTAAACAACGTCGATTCAGCACTGTGGTGAGCAGTGATAAACTGAAGGCTTGGATATTTTAATTTCATCTGGCCAGGCGGGTATCAGAGTAGTTGGCAACGC